CTTTGACCAGTCTTAATTATAAATTTAGTTTGTCTTATTTTTAGTTTGTGCATAAAAAATATATCAATCATTAGAATCAGTTAATTATTATTTGAATTATACGATTCACTGATTTGAAGTTCGATGAATACTTTAATGATTGTTGTGTGATTAGTAATTTTCGTTAGTAATTAAGATTGAATCATTAATGCTTGGTACAAAATAATTATGACAAAGATGAATTATAATTTTACACTGTGCAAATTTTATTAAGTTTTATTCTACAAATTGTTTTTGCATAAATAACACTTTTACAATTCATTTAATAATATTTTTTATTTATTTGATAATATTTTCATGTGGATTTATATATATTTATGCAGAATTATATTTTGGTGCTAGTTTAATTTTGTAATGAGTAAAGGTTATGACAAATATAAATGAAAGGTTAAGGGTTAAATTGCAATAATAAGTTATCAGTGTAAATGACCTTCAACGTAAAGTATGAAAAGAGTTAGTGATCGTAAAAATTTCTTCGATAAATCTCGCTGTAAACAGAAACATGAAGAAGCGCACACCTGTGCAGCTGCCCATTATCGTCATGGGAAATCAGCGGTGTTGCACTTGACTTCAACCTCAAATTTGCATATCATTTCATCAAGAATTTTCATGGGAAAGATGATTTTTGAATTGTTGTGAAGGCAAATTAATTGTTCATTTCTATCATATTTTTATTGCAATTGACTGAAGAATTTCAAGCAACCATTTTAATGATTTATTTATTTATTTATTTATTAAACAAATTTAATTCATCTCTTATTGTACGTAAATAAATAATCATTTGAAAATATAATATAATAACTTACAAAATTATATATAAATAATTAATTGCTACAACTGATTCCGTAGCCTGCTATTAAAATTATAATTTTGTAAAAGTTTGCAAGTTGAAAAATGTCTTTTCGTAAAAGTCTTTGGTCTCTCTTTAATTCTCTTTAAGTTATGTTTCTTGAATTGAATTTTGTGATTGAAACAAAAACATCTGCAAGAATGTATTTTTAAGTAATGAAGCATAAAAGATGAATTTTTGTTAGCACAGTAATAGAAAGTTAAGCATTCCATTAATTGTTAAATTAGCATACAAAAGTAAAAACTATTGAGGAAAGGTCATCATGGGTCAAGAAAACCTTTCCGCATCAGATTTCGACCGCTTTGTTGACATTTCTCAGACAAATGAAGCTCATAAGAAGCTTTTGTCCAGAAGTAATAAAAGATTCACATTTGAAGTGTTTCGGGAAAGTCATTTTATAAACTTCAACGACAGAATCCTTCCATTTTTCACCTTTTCTAAATATTTACACTCAGTGCACTGAAGTGTGCATACAAAAGTAATACCTTAACATTAAAATATTCATACAGCTAAACTAATAAACTTTGGCTAACTTTAACTGTCAACGGATCATATTCAGTTTGATATTTTGGTCAGAAAATAATTATTTCAGAAAGAAAATTTTTATAACAATTTAAGGACTCAAAATATGAGCTACCTTTTATATTTAATGGAGTTATTAATTGAAGGTGAAAGTAATTTTTGTGGAATATATATGGTTGTCCTTGAACTCAAGCAGTCAGTCATAATTAATATCAGTGATTGTACTCGATATTAGTACGGTATTAGTAAGTAAGTTCCCGCAGATTTTACCTAAATAGTCTATAATTATCATCAACTTTTTTTGCAATCTTAGATTTAGACGAAGAAAAAGAAATATAATAATGATAGGTAGACTTGAGCAAACGAAATCTGATAATATTCATCTAATTTGCATATTTTTTTAATGCCAAAAATTGTACAAATCAGCAATAATAGCGATTATTTTTACAATTACATTCAGAAAAGATAAACACTTCTTAAAAAATAATTAAAAGTAAATTCTGATCAACACATTGTCATTTTTACAAGAATAATTGTAGCAATTAATATTTAAATGCACTGTAAAAACTAATTTAGAATTGGTTACAAAACTTCAAATTTTCGGATTTGAATTTGAATTTCTTGTAATTCTCGAATACATTCATATTATATAAATCAAAAAACTGTAATCAAATAATGAAAATAAATGTAGAAATTAATAAAAGTTTGAGTTGCTGAACTGATTCAAACTGCGTATATTATTTTATCTTCAGTATCAATCTTCGCATAAAAATGTATTTGCATTCGTAATTTAACCTTGAGCTTGCAGACAGCTTTCTTATCTATCATTTTGTAACTTTTCAATGACAAAAAACTTACTACAGTATTACAAAATTCCTTTAATTTCCACACGTACAGTCAGTCAGGGTCATTCGTAATAAGTCAATGAAGCGTATAAAAAAAGTATTACTTTTGAAAAAAGGTTAAAAATAAGTGAATGAATGAGTTGTACTATTTGCATGCATGGCTGCATAATGCTTGATTTTTGTAATGGCCGAAAAGTTGAATACATTAAAAGTAATTATTGTAAAAAACGTCAACGTAGAAGGTCATCATGCAAATAATTCATCCACCTATAATTGCGCACTTTTTTACTTAAACTCATACGGAAACAAATATTTTCACTATTATTCCAGTGATAGATGACGAAAATTTCACTTTTTGCAACGTATTAACGAAGGAAAACAATAAGTTTGAAAATTTTATAAAATTTGAACATTGCATATAAATAAATGCTTAGATTGGTGCTAATATTTTGAATGTTAAGACCGAAATAATAGTTTTTGCTATGGAAGGATAAACATGTCAGCAAATAATTGAATCTATATTGTTATAACAAGAATTTTAGGTTGATATGTTTTTTATAATGTTTTTATGATTATTATATATGCATATAAAAAGGACGAGATAGTTTGAGGATGCTTGGATATGCATTACGGATTAACGCAAATTGAGAAAAGCCAATAAAGATTTAACTGAGTAAAGGTAATCGGGTCACTTTTGACAAGGTCACCGCAAATCCGATATTCAAATATGACTAGCCGACAACAACTGCAAGCCATCACTTTTACCAAAAACACATCGAAATCACCAAAATTATTAACTGATTTCATTGTTTAAAATTTACGATAATATTTTAATTTCAAACTTAGCCAACTGTGATTATTTGAAAAAAGTGATAAAAGAGGTAAGTTTTACTTTTTTCACTCAAACTCAATGCACACAAAAGTCAAATTTAAACAAACTTACTAACAGTATATTTAATTTTAAAATTCAAAAGGCATACTGAAATTTTCAAAAATTGCAAGAGTATATACTTTTTGATTAGTAGTATCTCAATAATATTCATAATAGACAAATTATTTTTTAAAAATATAGTCTAACTATTTAAAGATAGAAATAGTAATATGAAAAGTTGTCATGATATCTGTCAAAATTATCCTGATCGTATTGTGTGGCAATGCACAATACTACAGAACTGATAACTTTTTGTTTCAGTTTTGATTAAGAATACAGCAATATTTACCTTTGTAAATAATCTTGAAGATATTTCATTTAAATTATTAATTTATATGTACTGAGTCATTCAGTTACAAGTTATCTATATGAGTTACAAGTTATTTATAAAAATTTATATTTCGCATACTTTGAGATTAATCATTAATCAAATGCACTGAATATAGTTACCATTTTTTGAATAGTATTAACAGAATACATCAGTGAACTATATCAATGGACGTCATCACCTATATTACTGAGCATTATCATTATTCTGAGCATTATCATTATGATGTGTGATAATCATCTTCTAATTAGTAAAAATCACTTGATAATGTTGGCAATAAATTTAAACAGTCTAAAGTAATTCTTCTAAATGCTCGATAAATGATTATAATTACAAAATTTTATGGTAGAAAATAAAATTACTATTCACACTTATTTACAGCTGCAACTTTTGTATAACTTTTGAAGTTTAATATAAATTGAATTATAGTTATTTATTGAGTAATTTTATAGAATCAATACACATTTAATACAAGTACTTACAATTTTCATACTATTATATTTTAAGAGCTATTTATTAGCAGTTATAATATTGCAGTCTAATTTGAATAATACTCAAATAATTATTTAAAGCAAAATAAGCAAAATTAAAATATTTACTTGGCTTTACTTGATAACAAACTCACTAATGAGGGAAGTGAGCCTTTGCTAATTACTATTTTTCATTGCTAGGCTAGTCTCTAATTGAAATGAAGAAGAATTTTTCTGATTATTAAAACTAATAACCTTTACTTAAAAACGTTACTCGGCACAATCGTTTCACATTTTCTGTCAATTTTTTTATCCACTCAGAATCTCAGTAATTTACTATGATCCATAAAATCTCAGTAATTTACTATGGTCCACAGAATCTCAATAATTTACTATGATCCATAAAATCTTAATAATTTACTATGTAATGTTTGAAAAGATTAATTACTGTTTGTGCAGATTTAAAATATTTTTACTTACTTTATATAATGCTTTTAGCTATTTTTGTACTTGAAATCTGTAATGAGTTATTGTAAATTAGTTAGAATGAATTTTTTATGCTAATAATAATAATTTTAAATTTGTGTAGCTCACTTTTTTCATAAACTTGGCGTAGTTATATCTATTAAGTAATATTGCTGAGAAAATGAACATAGAAAAATAGCATTTAATTTGGAGCTTAAACTTTTTATCCATCAGTTGATAAGAAAGTAACAAAAGTTTGCATATATGATCATGGAAATTAATTGATTCTTTCTTAGGGATTTCCAAAGGCAAAATAGATCAAATGTTCTACAACTACTGGAACATGCTGTTTGCCAAATTTGACCATTATGCTTGCTAAAACTTTCAAGAATGCTCGAATAAAATTAATAAAAAATTCGACTTAATCAAGCTGGCTAACAAGTATAATCACTTATTGATAGGTCTAAAGTTTACTGATAAGATAAAATCAAAAATAGTACGCATGCATAAGTTTGAAATTTGTTTTGGATAGAAAAAATTTAATTTTCAGGGCCTACAATTTAATTTTAATAATGAAAGTGCGTATGATAGCTTTTTGCATTACATTCGTACTGATAGCTAATGCTATCAAAATTGGTATATTGGAAAAAGAGCTCAAACTTGTGGAATTATGCAAAATTGCAATAAACGATGCTCAAAATATGAATCAATGCACTTCTGAAAATATTCAGTACGCTTAATTTGCATATTATTAATGCATGCAAAATTAGTTTTAATAAAAACTTTAAAACTTATCAACTGCAGTAAAATAAATAATATCTTAAATCCTTTTCAATTTATTCAAACTTCTAGTGCTAAAAATTTAATATGATGATTAGAAGTTAGAATAAATCTTCGTAAAAATTGCATGTCAGATAAAAACTAATCTCAAGGAAGAAAGCGCATAACTCGAGCATTAAAAGTTTGTGATTAAAATATTTATCAATATTATCAGTAAAATATTATTAAAATATTATTATCAGTACTTTAATTATAAACATTAAAAGTTTATGTTTATAATTAAAGCATTGTGATGACATTTTGAATACGTTATTTTTCAAAAATATCCTCCGAAGTTTTTGTCAAATTTGCATAATGTCATAATAATGATTGGTTTTTGCATAATTTAGGATATTGAATTCTACAGCATGCCTTGTTGATCGGGCAAAAGGCATTGTCAGTGCGGTTTCATTTCACTTCCAAGATGAAGTTGAGGTAGCTTTTTCTGACAAAAATTATTCCGTAAGTAAAAAATTGAACGAATCAATATTTTTCAGAAGTCGATAGGAAAGTATTTAAAATAGCTACATTAAGCATTATGATTAAGCGTCATGGTTGAATAATTGCATTCTTGAAGGCTTTCATTAATTCTCGATGCAAAAATGAAATGTTGGATATTGCTAGCTTAGCTCGTTACTGGAATTCACCAGTAATTTCTCGAACTATTTCAAATCCTCAAATCAAAAATAATACTTTGTATCCAACAGTAGTTCATTTGGGCTTAACATCCGCTATCGATTTCACGTACGCCATCAAGTATTTAGCTGATTATATGAATATCAGTTCGGTAAATAATTTTAATTTTCAAAAAATTAAATGATTATTTTTCTAGACTTTTGGGATAAATTATTTTATATAAGCATTTGTAATTTACACTCTTCACAGTGACAAAAATTGAAGTGCAAATTTAGTTGTAAGTGAATAATAATCTAATCTTTATTGAAAATAAAAAATTTTTAAACTTTAAAAGTAATCAGAAATAATTATATTGAGATAATTTTCTAACCCGACTGTGTTATACATATGCAAATTTAGTAGTGATTCGCAAATTCCCTCGTATTAAAAATTTATTTATTACACTGAATAATGATTAGTTTGATTTCAGTCTTATTCACGTAAGCTTATTATTATTTGATACCTTTATTAAGGCCAATATTAAAATATAATTAATCCTTTTTGCAGATTGTTTTGGTAAGCGGAGAAAAGCGTAAGAACCTTGAATATTCAATTGTTGCTGGAATGAAACTTGTAGCACAGCAACAGAATTTATTTCGCATAGAAAAACACATTATGATTGCAGAATCATCAATCACAAAAAGAAAACATTTATCCGACAATTTGAAAACACCTTCAAAAAGTATGCATTTCACTTAAATTAAATTAAATTTAATTTAATTTAATTTAATTCAATTCAATTTTATTTTATTTTATTTTATTTCAATTCAATTATCATTTTGTTAACAATTTTGAGAGTAATTTTTAGTCTAAAATAGGTTGAAGAAGTAATAATTGCATGATAAAGTAAGTGATTATTTCAGTGATTGTAATTGGAAATGATTTTCTTCAGCCAGAAATAGTTCTGACTAAACTGAATGTTGCTGCATTAAGTCATCATCATTATCTGATCATTTTTGTATGCAATCAGATCAGCGAAAGTTGTACGATTCCAATCAAATACATTATTAGTAATGCAAAAATCATTGTTGTAAGTGTGTAAGATAAAGCTAAAATCATAATGATATTTGTTAATTACTAAAATTGTATTTTTTACAGTTTGAAAAATTTTTTTAAATTTGTATTTCACTTCAGTACATTTCACCTCGCTTTCTAAAGCATTAAAGGAGAAAATAATTGAAGACATTTTTAGCTTGCTCCAGTTGTGGAAGGACATGAAAAAATATTAAGCGAGTTAAGTAAACGAATGAATTTTGCTGTAAAACTGGTATGCATTACTACAAAACTAATTAAAATACAAAAACAAAGAAAATATTTCTTATTCTATTTATAATAAATATAATAATACTTAATCATGATAAAATATTATTACATTTGTTATGAATGGAAGAAAAAAATTGATAATCACAAGCACTGGTCTTATATTTATTATTGGATAAAATGTATATTATTTATTTTTGTGGAGAGGTTTATTGCTTCGTACTGTAACCAGCAATCTGTAGAACTATTTATTAGATCATAGTTATCTTAAACATGAATTTTTTAATTACTTTCATGCCTAATAACTGTAGTAGTTTGTTTACTTCTATGGAAACTACTAAATTTTTGAACACTAACGTCTCAATTTCAGAAAACTGCCTTGCTAGAATAACTTTTGGCACAGTAATTATAGACAATATTGTAGTTCTCTCATATAGTACTAATGAAATTGTAGCTATTATAATTACTGTGGATATTTGGTAGTTGTTATCGATGCTTATAAAGGTTTAAAAATTGAAATTGTGTTTATAAATAGGTCGAAATGGAGAAGTATTTGGCCACATATGATGCATGTTACGGTTTTTGTTTTGGTACTCTGTACAGTTCAGCTTCAGACGGCAGAAAGTTTGCCAAAACTATGCGCAATCGACAATTTAGCAGTATTATTTGTTGAAAATAATCATTAATAACTTTTATTTTCAGCTTGAAAATTATTGCATTTTTGTTACTCAATAAACTTACTTGAATCTGAATGAGATCTGAAAAGTCCATTATAATATTGGAGCTTTTGTATGATTTTTATATAGTGAATATGCATAACATATTGATGACTGTGATATGATATAGTATTATCAGTTAATGTTTGAACTATTTCAGTGATTTTTTGTAGATGCAATGGGAGAAGTAATTTTCGATAACAATGGTAAACGCTTACAGAATTATGCATTTCAATTATTACCTTCAAAAGACGCTGAATTTAAAGTAGTAATGCAGTTATCAATGGTTAAAGTTCCATGCACAGCTGATAATTTGTGCTTTACTTGGGTAGATTTTATTTTTGACAATTATTTCCAGTAGCAATGTAATCAAATTTTGTACGCTATCTATCAGTAAAATGATATAATCTTTTAGATATTTATAGTGATAAAGTTTGGTTTTTTGTAAGATTTATTATATGAATAAATAAAATACTTATGAATTGTAGGATGTGCATGAAAATGATGAAAAGTTCTGGAAAAATCACAAAAATACAGTGATAGAACCATGCGTGTACAGTAAAAATGGCTGCCATAATTACGTATTAAACGCAGCAATATTCACCGTTGCATTGCTTGTTTTGGCTATTTTGATAAGCCTTTATTTGTATCAAAGAAAGTAAGCTAAACTTTCAAGTATGGCTAAATTATTTTAAAGTATCGTTTAAGCATATTAAATATACTAAAATACTGGAAAACAAAACTGATATCAAAATGATAAAAAATATTTAAATAAATATTTATGTCAAAAGTTAATGCTTTTTGCTGGAATAAATCTTTAAAACCAATCATATTTAAATAGCCTCAAAACTTACTAAATAATTATAAAGATTGAGTGGTAAAAATAAAATGAATTAGCCTGCATATGTATTAAATTTGCATATTAAAAAAATAACTTGTTAAAATTTTTTATATTTTTCAAAAATCCAAAAAAACTTTATTAATTAAAAATATGATATTAATTTTTGGCTACTTAATTGAGCGTTAAAATTTGCTTGTGGTTCTTTGACTGTGTTGTCTAATTACGTTTGTATCTTGCTTTTTTAGCAATTTTTCAAATTTGTTTACCATTAACTCATATTGAATGAAATAAAATAATTAATAATTGAATTAAGGACTTAACAAAATATTTAATATATTATATTTAATATGAAGAGGTTTTAAAATCGGTTGAAATGAATAATTTAGAGCAATTGAAAAAATAATTAAAAAAAGATTTTAGAAAAAATATGGATGTGTATAGAATGACATGGAAAATTAGCAAAAATAATTTAAAAGTGATTGAAACCAAACAGGTTTGTAATAAAAATTGTGCTAAATTTTGTAATAATTTTAAAAATTTTTCTAATTGTTTTACGAGAACTTTTTAAATATTAAAAACAATTAAAATGAAATTTGATAAAAGAGTACGGATGCTTGCTTGAAATTACGGTATTTATGCAAATTTCAGTCAAAAGGAAATGCAGTGAGTGATAAATTAACTAACAAACGACGAATATTAGAATCATATGCTTTGGTTGATTCTTCGAAAGCTGAATTTATGTGTTTCAAACAACAAAAACGAATTCTGTGGTCCACAGAACAGCTGGATTTCTTATATGAATTAAAGTCATTAAATCATAATAATCTTACAAACTTTATTGGCATTTGTTATAATGATTCAGAGCGATTATACGTATTGCATACGTTAATTGAACGTGCTTCACTCGAGGATTTTATTTATGATTTTGATTTCAATATGGATAATACTTTCAAATGTGCTTTTGTTCACGATATCCTCAAGGTACTTTCATTACAATGCATAAAATACAATTACTACAAATTTTAACTATTCTAATTCGCTACTAATTAAACATTTTTCAAACTTCTTGGGCTATTGCGCAGAGATTTATTTTTATAACTTAATAATATTTAAATAAATCAATCAATTAAAATAGATAAAATTAATTTGTAAATAAGCTGATTTTTTAATATTTTTGCAATTTTTGATTACAAACTTACAGTATCTAAAAGGCTTGATTGATTTGTCTAATAACTCCATAAATTCAAATTCGAATATTTTTCTTCCTCAAATGTCAAGGATCAAATAATGATGTTTTTTTCTGCGCAATGCCAACTTTCTCGTTCAACGTTTTTTTGCAAAATGAAATTAGCATTTTTCAGGGATTACAATATTTGCATAAATCACCAATCGGCTGTCACGGAATGTTATCGTTAAAAACATGCTTAATCGACGCAAATTGGGTGCTTAAATTAACTAATTTTGGAGTTTCAACTATGCTAAGCGAACTAATTGATCTAAATTATATAAAACCTATTGAAGCGATCCCATATCAGTGTAATTTTCTTCTTGTAAATTGCAAAATTTTACTTAAATTATAAAAACTTTTTGCAAATAAAAGTAAATCATAATAATTATTGTTTCAAAAAGCTTTATTTTCAAAGTTTATATTACAATTGCGCCTGAATTACTCTCTAATATTGAAATTGGGCGAAATTTTCCAAAGGGTACTGCAAGTGGAGATATATACAGTTTTGGTATGATGCTTTATTCAATTGTATATCGTACTGCACCGTTTGATCGACTTTTCTTGAAAGGTTATGTGCAAAAATCTTTGAATGCAGTGATCGTTGATCTGAATTGTTAAACATGTCACTGCCATTGAATTAGATCAAGAACAGGAATTAATAACTTGAATTAATTTACTTACTTTGCATTTAGTAATGAGTTTAATTAAGTTTCGGTAACAAATATATTTATCAGTTAGAAAAAATAACTTTAAGAAATTTTTACTTTGTTTTTATAAAAGATAAATAATTATAGAAGTTATTGATAATGTCATTCACAAATCACTACGGCCACATGTTGACAATCAACAAAATGATCCGGTCAGCTTTGATAAAATTAATCCTTTCTTGATATACTTTCAAATTTATCTGCTTAGCTAGAATCTGTAACTTTTTACGTAATACTTCTGATTATCTGTTCACGCTAGGACTTTTTATGGTTTTATGATATAACTAAGTCAAATTTAAGAATCATTTTCCAGTTTATTAAATTTTGTTCTATTTCAAGTTGACCACATTAATATGTCAGTGTTGGAGTGCATCACCAGATTCTCGACCCAAACTTCGTAATATTCAGCAAACTATTGAAACTATTTTTTCTAGCTCGTAAGTTTCTTTCAACAATTAAAGAGATTACAAAATTATTTTTATCTTTTAAATTACAATAAAAAATAAATTACAAAAGATTATATTTGTTTCATTTCATTTATATTTTGATACAGTTAAAATACTTGCAAAAATGTATTGCATTCAGAATACAAAAAAGTGCTGAATAGAAGTTGCAGTACGAGTGAAAAAGCAATCTAAATGTTAAATAAACAAAGTATTATGCAAATTTTCAAAAAAAGGTAATAAAAAGGAGAAATTGAACTGTTTGTTTTGCAAAATACTGAAAATATTAACTGCGCAACAAATTATATTCATTAATTAATTTTAAATTTTCAGCAAAAAAAATCTCACACTTATTTTAAGTAATTTTTTTTGCTGCTGAGAATTTATTTCTTCGATTAAACTTAAATTCATTACTGATATTCAATTGAACACATCTAATTTGCTAATATAAATTTGTGAGCAATCTGAAACAAATATTATTAACATATTAGTTTATTTATGCAATGAATTTGATTTAGTCATGAATATTACTGTATTTTTATCCTTTTTTTTTGTAATTTTAATTATTAACTTGAGGAAAGGCAATTTGGTCGATCAAATGATTAAAATGAATGAAAAATATGCAGAAAATTTGGAACATATCGTTGCAGAACGAACTTCACTTTTGGTTGAAGCACAAAAACAAACTGAGCGTTTGCTCTGTGAAATGCTTCCACCGTCTGTATATGCTAAAAATTTAATTCAATTCATAACAAAACTGATATTAGATATAATATTAAATATTAATACTTATTTAGTATTGTAATAATGATATTAGTACCGCATTAAGATTTTTCAAAAATTTTTGTAGGTCTGATTAAACTTTTATAATATCGAAAATGTAATTAGGTCTATCGCAGCACAGTTGAAAAAAGGGGAGACGATTATTCCAAGAACTTATGAATCAGTTACTGTTGGATTCTGCCAGATTGTCGATTTCATGGATTTAATGCAACAATGTACTGCTGATCAGGTGGTTACAATTTTGATTTCAAACCCTATGACTTTGTATTAAAAATTAATATTCAATTCATATCTTTATAAAACAATTCATTTAATATGTGATAATGCAAATTTATGATAGATTGACGTGAGATATAATTTATAAATGAAGAAAAATTGAATATTTCCATTTTTAAACTGCACAAAATTGTAATATAATACTACTAATATCAGTATTACAATACTAAATAAGTATTCTTGTAAATTATTTGAAATATTTTTGTAGAAGTTTTAAAATAAAAGAACTAAATGTAAATGAAACACATAGAATTGATAAAGAGTAGCTGTTTTCGAATTCAGATATGACTGTAAATTGTTAGCTTTTTTTTGAGAATAATAGTGTGAATATTTGATGCAGGTCATTGCATTCTTAAACGATACTTTCATGACCTTTGATGAAATAATTCAAAGTCATGATGCATACAAAGTTGAAACAACTGCTGAAACTTATATGGTAGCATCTGGAGTCCCTAGCGAAAATGGTGGCAAGCATGTTTTTGAAATTGCTGAAATCGCATTACAAATTCGAGAGGTATTATATGCAAATTAATAAATAGCAAATTAATTCCATGAAACTTTGCTAAACTGATAAAATTTAATAATTAATTGCAGAAAAGTTTAACGTATAGAGTAGCAGCTGCACCTGACTGGAAACTTAGCGTTCGGATCGGATTTCATTGTGGTCCAATTGCTGCAGGTGTTATTGGTATACGATCTCCAAGATATTGTTTATTTGGTGATACTGTAAGCATTTAAAAAAATTTTGAAAAATCTATCAAATTATCAAATTTACAAAAATATTGTTTAATAAAAAAAGATATGCATTTATAGTTCTTCCTTTGCTTTTATTTTATAATAATTGTAATTTATCTTTAAGGTTAATTTCGCGTCACGTATGCAAAGTAATTGCCAAGCTAATCAGATACAAGTAGCTGAAAGTACTGCGAAAATATTAATGCAGTCAGGAAAATATCAATTAGAAAAACGTGGAGTTGTGCTTGTAAAAGGAAAAGGTAGCAAATAATTATGCAAAAATTTGAAAAAAACAACAAAAATTACAAAATTTTTTTAAAATGCTTACAGTTCTTGCGAATTTTTTGCTTCAATAAGCATTTAATTTCATTATTATGCTAGTTTATACTTAAAAAATTACTCTAATTTTAAGGAAATGTTAATACTTATTGGTTGAATGCATTGAAGCAAAAAAATTCGCAGGAATCAGAAAACATAATGGAAAGAGCGACGCCAGATTTGATTCAAAACGTGAACAATACTGATCAGATAAGCACGTCAACAGATGATTCGTTATCCAGTTATGATACAATGCAGTACGATAATGTAGATGGAATACATCGATGATTGTTCTTATTTATTAATTGTATTTTCTTGTAATGATTAATAATCAAACAATAAAGTTAATGAAATAGAAAGCTTAAAAATAAATTACTAAAATTGTTCCAAATTAAATTGCTAAAATTTTTTCATACAGTAAAGTATTCAATATAAATTTATAAAAAACTTGAAAACTGTACAAATTTCAGCAGATTTTTTCGATTAACTTCCTGAAGAAAAAAATATTTTCTTATAAAGCACTCCAAAGTCAAATTACAAAAAATTTTAGTTCACAATATGTCTATAATTAATGCGCATAAAATAACACTGCTGTTGTGCTCAAACAAAAAATAAGTGATTAGTGATAAATAATTAAACTTTTATTAAATACTTTTTTAAAAAGTATGAAAATTAATGAAAATTAACTTTTTATAAAATCAATCAAAAGCCTCTTTTACTGAATTAATTGATAAAATTAGCATTTAACAATTTAACTTAATTACGTTTCAGAAATTTCTGCAAAAACGAGTTAGTTCAAGCAAATAAACTTGATAGAAAAATAAAGGGATAAATCAGAAATTGCGGATATCATTTGAATTATTAATATATCAATGAAATTGCTATACTGTAAAAAACTGTTATTTTTGTCTGAGTTTTGTAATTTGAAGTTAAAAAGTGAAAAAATTCAAAATCAAAAATTATTTACAAAGTATTAAAAGTGGAAAAATTTTTGAAGTTTATTATTAAAGCAGCTGTTCATCTGCAATCAGGCAAAAAAAGAAAAAAAATTAGGACGTATTTTTCAGTACTGTTTGCTGTATTTTGCATAATCCTACTTAAGCCTTTTGCGCTTGCTTGAACTTACTTCCTTCTTTTTCATATACTGTTACTTTTAACCTTTTAATTAAAGTAATTTTAATTTTGAAAAATTTCATATTGTTTATTTATTGTTAAACTTTTTCAAATTTATACAATTATTGACAAATAGTTTTATGCAATTCTTTACATTCACAAACATTATTGTTGATATCAATAATTTCAATGATTATAATTATAATTATCATTATTTCATTGATTACTTACTTATTCATTTAGTCAGGCAGATTACAACAAATTCTAAAAGGTGCGTAACTGATATTAATCATTAAATATCAATTAATTATTATTTTCAATTTTTGAATTATAAAAAATTTTATTCCAATGGCTACGAAATTCATAAAGGTAAACAACTTCGCTGATTTTTTAATAAAGTCATAAAAAGTGAGCAAATTTATTGCTTCTTTTGCATGAAATCAAAATTTATCGCTCACAAAATGCTTTAATATTTAGTAAAATATACATAAAATTCTTTCATATTTAGAAGTTTGAACGTTTAATATTTATATATTTAAATATACAAATATAAGTATTAAAGTTCTGATTTTCAGTTCATATTGTGATGGTAGCATTAATATCAAAACAGAATGAAGCAATTCAATTCACACAAATACCTTCAAATGTTGTCAGATATTTTAAGGTTTTGATTTTTTTTTCAAATTATTAATTAATTTTTAGTTAATATATGATAATAGAATAGAAGTAAAAAAGTAGGAAAATAAAATCAGATAATCGACAAGTTGTAACTTATAAATCTGTTGATAAAATAATGATCGGGATGATATAATTACAAAAATAAACCTATTACTTATTACTACTCAAGTAATTCTTATTACTTAATTATTTTATATGATCATATCTAAATTATTTGTGTTATAGCTGATTGGATGGTTCCTGGTGATCGGAAATTTAATCACTATACTGATATTAATCATATTAGATTCTAAATTCATCGATGCAGCAACAAACTATTCATTTATCGTATTTGTTTATCTCATATCACTTTTTTCTACAATACTGGCGATTAAAGATGAAATAAATATAATGTTATATCCAGTTCTTGTAACAACGGTCTGTTTTTAGAATCTTTTAAAAATTCAAAGACTGCTTACTACTAATACTAAAGTGAAATATTGAAAGAATTGGGTAATGTGGATTCATTCGCTCAGTAAATTATGCATTTTTTGACTTTATGCGCAAATTTATAAATTATTTTAGATATCAAATTTAATTATTATTCGTAATTTTTTTAATTTTTAAATTTGAAATAATCATTTTAACATAAAGCTGCAAAAGTGTAAATTTAGAATTGCAGATTTTTTTTTCACTTAATTTTGGTTACTATCAGTTTTATCATTATTCATGTATAATCACAATATCAAATGAGCTTTCAAAAATACTTTGTGTCATATATTAGCATCTGATATTCCTCATTTTTTAACCAATAGCTTTCAGAAACTTTGAAATCGTACTTAAGTTTTATTCGTTGCTATATTAGTTTTTTATTCGTTGCTCTCAATACTAATTAATTACTGTAACTTATCAATAGGTGTCAATAGCATTTCAAATTGTGATCTAAAGTGTAAATTTATGTTATTGCTAATTCATTTATTCGTGAAAAAAAATAATTTAATATTTTCAGATGACATTTATTGTAGTGGCAATCTCGGCCTTCGTTTTGATAGTAATCAGCAAATTTTATTGTATTCATTTGTATTATTTCTCATTTTTGTCCAATTATTATGGTTTGATTTTGTATTTTTACAAAAACTGTACAGAAAAAGTCTTCCAGGCGTGAAAAACATATCAACTGCCTAATTTAAATGCGATGATTTGAATATTAACGAGTTGTAAAGTATCTTGTTACAATCAGTGTTTTACTTTATGAAATTGCGGAACAAAAATTATTTTTGAGTTATTTGCTCCTTTGAGTACAAATTCAAATTTAGAATTGACTTTTTTTGTGAAGTAAACTGACCCGATCACTTTAAAAAATGACCTATAAATCAAAAAGTATTGCGATTTGTTTGTTTCAGAATTTTAATAATTATTTTTGAATCTAAATGACATAATTACTTGAATCGGAGATCAAGAACCGTTAGCACATCTTGGCTTACAGAATCACTACTTAAATAATATTCTACATCATATTTTACTCCGTGATTTGATTATAAAAGCAATCTTTTTATCATTACAAAAATGCACCAATCGTTGGCGTTGATGTTTTTTTTGGAATTTAGAGATTTTCTTGATTGTAAATTTAATAAAGCTAATTAATTGTGCTACTTTATTTGCATAATAATAAATAATTGTTTCAGAATGTCAAAACTTCGCAGATGTTTCAACGTTCCATTCAACGTTTTTATTGCTGATAGCAATCGAAAAGTGTTTTGAATTTTTTATTTTTCGTCGTTTAATGAAAATTTTTGAATTGCTTCGAGGATGTAGTACGCAGTTTTTAGTTACTGAATTTAAAAAAGCCTTCAGCACAAGCAATGACACAGACGACGAGGTAATGCTTTTAAAAATTTGCATACCGAATTTGCTGCATGAATATGCACAATTTTAATTCAGATTTTGCAGTTATTTTGAAGTAATTAATTTTTTTACTGCAAATTAGAAAAATATTACATAAAACGGCTTTTAATTTTAGAAAAAAATAATCTATTTTTAGATAATAGTGTATGAAAAAGTGACACGAAAGTATCAGAAGGACCAAGCTGATAACTGTATAGAGAAGCAATCGAAATAAACTTGCTGATTTAATCTATATTTGAATGCTTCAAAGTTTCTTGCAAACTTCAGATGTTTGCTTTTTTTTAATTTCAAATTTAAATTGGATGAAGTTAGAGACTCTTTTGAAAGATTAATTCAGTTAAGATTGAATAACATGAAATATCACAGAATTCCAGTTTTAGTTTGCAGCAATACTTCGAATTAATTAGGAATTAATTAGGATTCTCTCATCCACCATGAGTCACAAGCATTTTTTATTCTAAGAAAGTAAACTTTTTTGCATATTTATCAGACGTAAATCTCAGTAATAATAATTTCTGAATTGTTTTTAGTAATATATACTTGAAGCAAAAAAATTTACTGAAGTTTGTGTTGCGTATTGTTGCATAAAATACATAACGATGCGTTCTGAGGCAAAATATGAGGTGTGTACAAGTTGTAGCAGACTTTTGTAACATCAAAATTTTTGCATTTATGTTTAGCATAAAGTTTATTTCAGGAAATTGCGTCAAAAAAATTAATAAGTAGAATAATAAATATTTTCAGAGGTATACAAAATAACCATAATTACTGTAACAAGTTTGAATGAAAAAATTTGCTGCAACAGATTTATCCAAATCCTCCAAAAGCATTTTGGTTGTAGTAAAAATTGTATGGCGAATGTATAGGAGAATGAAAACCACCACCAAAACCATAATTATGAATAGGAGAATGAAAACCACCACCCAAACCATAATTAGGATAAACTCCACGTGATGCGTAGGGGTCACCCTTTACTTTGACTTTAAAAAATGGAGTCTTGATTTTGTATGAATAAGGTGAAGGATTTAAGAATCCACCGTAACCACCAAAAGGACTGTAATGACCATATGGAGCAAATTGACGCTTTACACGAGATCTGAAACCGCTCACAATTTTTCAAGTCATAATTTTTGTATTACACATGTTGCTTGATAAATTGAAAGTATATTATGAGCGTAGTAAATGAAACATCGAAATATAATAATTATCTGCGCACAACCTTTTATATGGGTATCTAAAAAATTAGTAATTGCAATAAAATTTTAGCACTTTTTATAATAAAATAAATATTATTAATTTTAAGCTCAAAAATATTTTTATACATTAATTGAAGGTCGAAGGCCAAAAAATGGAGGGATAAATTCGTTTTGAAATAGATGTGAATATTATCATAAAAAATAATAGTGACCTGTCTTGTTGATCAGAATCGACCTCCAAATTTGCATCAGAAATTGGCACTGCCAAACAGACTGTCCATAAAAGAACAATTGCATATAATTCTCTGCACATTTTCTGAAGATCATAATAATTTTATTTACTCATTTAATAAAATAAAATAACTTACATTCGCAAACTAAGTAAGCACTATATAAAATCAAAAAAATTCTCTCAATTAATTTCTAAATTTGAAATAGTCATTTATTAAATGCTCGTTAAAATATATTATTACGATAACTACTAGGCAAAATAGTTAATTACTAATAAATAATATATATATTCAATAAATAATTTATTGAGCATCTAATGCACATGGATTCTTAAATACGTTGATGAATGATTTTTTGGACGTGGGATAATCAAGTGCACAATACATAAGATTGTTAAAAGTGGAATAAAAAGAAGCTTAAAAAATGATATTTATAAAATTCATACTTCTTGAAACTATTATTCAACAATAGTACCCAAATATTTAGATCATAAGTTTCTATGCTTAAATTGTTATGACTTATATATTTATTACTATTATTATTATTATTATTATTAATTTACTGGTAATAATAAATAAATATAAAATTTGTTAATATTTTAAAAATTAGGTATCCATTGCTAATAATAATGATAATATCCTGAAAACAACAGTAATAATAATAGTAATAATAATAATAATAATAATAATAACAATAAAACTATAAAGATAAAATTAGATAAAAAAGTTATTTTGGCCAATTTATGTGTTAAATTTTTTTGCTTATCATTTCACGACTTCTTTTACATTCTTTGAAGTAAATTCATAGAGAATTTGATGGCATAAAAATTAGTTAATTCAATTATTTATGTGCCATCGATCAAAGACTTTTAATTTATAGAACAATGAAGAAATTTCTAGTTTCTTGCAATGAATTCATTTCCGGTTTGGCAGTATTTTCATTTCTGATTATAAATTATATTCCAGTATTAATTAATAAACAATTTCTCTTCTAGTAGGCATTAGCAGTCTGCCTTCTGTTATCACTATTAAGTGCTGCCATTACTTCCGTATTATCAATGATGATACAATCTGTTCATTTCTGTTTTTATTCATCTTTTCAATATTAGCACTGATACTTTTCAATTATTTTTTTTAAAGATTGAAATAAGAGTTAGCGTTAAATCAATAATAATGTCATCACCATTACTTATAGTTGAGTATTGATTTTTTTATTGAAAATACTTATGTGGATTTCCGTTCTAATAGAAAACAATTGTGCTGTAATGTTTATTATTTGGGGAAAATCTATCAAAATTTAAATTGAATTATCAAATAAGCTCAACCGTCAAAATAGGCAATACTGAAACTTTCGCATGAAGTTGCTAAGATTTTACGAATTTTAATTTTCAATCGATAATAAAAGCAGAAATTTAAAATAATAAAAAGTTTTAAATTAGTTAATTTTGTAAATAATTAGAAAGAATATAGTATAAATTATTGTAAATAATTGATGTTTAAATTGTTGAAATTTCAGTGACTGTCTAAGCTATCGTGAAAATTTTGATGAATATTAGAATTACAGTAATGGAGAAAAATTGAAGTTGAAAGGTTACAAAATTTTCAGCAATTCTTCGGGAAAAGTATAAAATTTGAACGATTATTTGAAATGCTTATTATTAGACCACTAAAATGAGCCAAGTGCTTTCATCTGATTATATTATCTATTACAAATAAATAAATTGCATGTAATTATGCAAATATTACAGTTTTGTTTGTAGCACAAGCAGTAGAGCTAAAAAGAATCGTCCGTTTGATTATATGCATTTATTTCAAGACTTAATTACTTACAATAAAATTTGAACCAAAAGGATTATAGCTTTAATTAAGGTCGAGGTTACTTATTTGGCTTTCCAAAAATAACAATACAATACTCAAAAGAATTCAGGGAATTTTTTAACCCAAGTGATTTGTAGCAAAATTATTTTGTATTTTCGAATAAATAAATAGTTCTCGGAATAAAAAAATATTTAGCTTAAATTATATTTCAAAATTTGAAGATAATCTCAAAGTTGCTTCATTAGAATTTTACCCTATCAATAAATTTTCTAAAGTTAGTTAGTAAAACAATACATTTTCATCAGGTTTTTAAGAGTTAAATTAGCGTAGATGGCGCTTCATAATATTTTGTGTATATATTTTAGATAAATTACTTCAATTGTGTTAAATTTTTGAAGTTTTGTACAGTTCGTTCTTAATACTAGTAAAAAATCAATAGCGTATCAATTGATACGCTATTGATTTTTTACTTATTTATTTACTTATTAATCGTTTCTTTGAAAATATTTTATCGATATGACTATAATGAGTTAAGTAAGATAATTAGATAAGGATAGATTAGATGCAATACCCATATCCACGTCTGAAAATCTTTGCATTTTGTTCTTAACAGATCAAAACTTGCATACTTTCGGATTTTTAACTAAAGTCTAGAAAGTATTACTGTAATTTCTTGCGATATCCAAACTAAAACAAACGAATGATCTCATAATATTAGCGAATACATTAAAAAAATGACAATTAATGCATCGCAAGAAATAAAAATACATTTTTGAACTATTTATAATACTTTTTTAAGTAAGTAACTTTTCAAATTAAGTTAGTTGAAAGTTGAAAAAAGTTTTTGAAAAAATGAAATTCAAAAAGAGTCCTTGTCGCAGTAATGAAAATGACTGGTTTTTATAAAAATTTGGAAGAATTTTATATTTTATAGAAATTTTTTCTAATAAATAAACCACACCCTGAAAATTGGTTGAACAAAGATTAAATTGTTTGAATAAAATTAGTGAGTCGAAGGACAACAAAAAATAATGATAACGATTTCAGTGATAATGACGATAATATCACGTAATGATAGTGATGGTAATAATGATGTTGATAATGTTATCTATAGCAATAAATTCGTTAAATATAAGTTTTACTATTCTCAATTAACGCCATATTTTTTCATCGCACGAAATAAAATTCAAAATATTAGATTTTTACAATTAAATTTCTTCGATGAACTCTTTCAATACAATTAAATATCAAATCATATAAGTATTCGATTATTCTTTTCACTGACAAATTATTTGAATTTATTAATTACTACAAAACTTTGGAGACTTTGAAATAAATGGATTAATGTTACAACCGAAAAATAATTTTCAAACACAATAATATTAATTATAATTATTATAGTTTTAAAGCTAAGGTCAGAATAAGTTTGAAAATGTCATACAAATTGAAAAATTTTATCCAGCATAACGCCATAAATCAAACATTTGTAGATTTATTCACAATAATTTGTTCTACAGAAAGCTCTTTTTTCATATTATTATCCACTTTTAACATTGTCGGAGAATGTGTTGGCCCAAATTTTATTTACAGTAAATCAAAAAATTCCAATAAATTTTTTTGTATTCAAAACATTTTAATTAAATTAAAAAAAAATTCATCCCTATAGCTTTTTATTTATTGCCTTTGAGTTTTGCTATTTTTAGTTCAATCATGATAAATAATAATAATAATAAACATTATTATTATTATTATTATCATTATTATCGTTATAATAAATATATTTGCTTACAATTTAGGTTTTTAATAAGCGATTTCGTCAATTCGTAATGAATTTTTAATTGCATAAAATTTCATCTTGCGAAAAGCTGTTGTAATGTAAGAAACCTGTTTTTTGATGGTTGTGATTTTGACTAAGCAACCATTAATGGATTTCTAAGTCACATTGTCAGAAGGTCAGTCAGAAGTAGCGTTTGGCATGACAATCGCAGACTTTTCTCCTCAAAAACTTTGAATCCAAAATGACTTTAAAATATAAGGCACCAAATCTGAAAGTTATTTTATCACTTTAAAGATTACGGGCTATTTTTGGCAATGAACAAATATCCTGTTTCAGTGATAGAGCTCTACAAGCTGAAATCTTCACATTGGTATTTTTTTTTAAGTTTTGACGGTACAATATGGAAAAAACCAAAGTCAAAATTTATTTTATTATTAATATTTTAATAATAAATAAATTTTAACTTATTAAGATAAATTTTAAAAACTTGGAGCTACCATACTGTTTTATTTAGATTTTTGATTAAAAAAAGTGTGTGAAGTAAAAGCGATTGACAGATTTCGCGAATTATTTTTGAGGTATAAAAAACCATTTAAAATTTTATTTCTAAACAAAGTAATAAAAAAGTTTTGATTTTTTAATACAAACAAATAAGGCCTCAGTTTATCAGGCAAAATAAAAGAAATGACAAAAAGTGTTATTTAAATGAAATTTTGAATAAATTGTTTGACTGTGTAAGAATATAATACTTTGGCATATAAGTGTGTATTAAAAATTATACACCAACAAACTTGCCATAAAATCTGTCCAAAAATTTAAATTCAAAAATATGCAAACTAAATAAAAATTTAGCATAATTATGTATGAAAACCAACAAAAATGAAGAATTTTCAATCAGCCTTTAATTGCTTCAATGTCATCAAATGGAGATGGTTGTGGGCTATTGCGCGATTCGCCATCCATGGAAATTGCACTTCAAAATGCGGTTGATTCTATTAACGGTTCCGTGGAATCAGAAATTGCTCGAACAGCAATTTCAATTGTTTATAGGGTCACATCAAAGAAGTTCGCTATCATATTCATACATTATATTAAAGATTTGAATTAGAAGCTTCAGCATTAACGATAGTACTTACATTCACGGAAGGATTGCTTTTTCTTGAATCAAAATTTCTGATTTCAATGAAACCTTTGACTACAGCGTAACATTATTTGTTGACATGAGCATTTTTTATTTTTATAAAAAGTATTAAACTCAGATTTTCTATGCATTAAAAAGTTCAATAAATATAATCAAGGTGCTATTCAAAGACCTAAAGCGTTGGAATCACGCAAAATAATTATGATGATTATTTCAAATCTCTATGAAGTAAATTGAAAAAATTAGTAATTAGCAAAAATTTACAGCGAAATAAAAAACAAAAAACATATTCAATTCCATAAAAACCGTATTTTCACTCTTCAATTAATATTCTGAACTACGTCAAAAAAATGCTAGTATGCTTTTGCAATATTACGTCAAAATTTTCAATTTTGTAATTGACTGGATGTATTTTAGCTTAACTTTCGACTTTTTATATGAGTTTTGGGAATTTTAGGTTTAGACGTATATTTGCGATCAAAATAATCAACACAAAAGCATTACCAAAACCAATTGCCAGGAAATTTTTACCTCGAGAATTGCTTTTTACTAGATTAGCACAACATCCGCACATAGCTCGGGTAAGTTTATTTTGACGACACTCCACTGATTTTACAAATCAATTTGCCACTAAAATGATTTACTGACTTTACTTTTTACTGTCAGTCAATATCAACTGATCTAGAATTGATCTTAAGTATGAATTGAAAAAATTCTGAAAATTTAATGAAATTTTATTGACAACTAAGTTCTATCGTTTTGAGAGAAAAAGCCTTTGAGTGCTATGGCCCCTTGCTGTTATTTAATATCTTTACTTAATCTGAAGTATTTTGTACAAAATGTTAAGGCATTATCAATTCGAATGCCTAATCCAACAAAAATTACTATAATCAGTGATTATTATCCTGGAGGAACACTGCTCGATCTTATTGTGCGATATCAACAAATGCCCGGTGAATTATTTAACCTCAGTTAAAGATTTTAATTTTTGGCTTCAAATTTGCTTTTTACTTTCAACTCTGGCAGACTACTGAACTAATCTAAATTATTTGAATATACGCATTGTAATATCAATTATCATAATTTTACATTGATCTTATTGTACACTTTGAAACAAAAATCACCTTAACGGCATTTACCATTCGTCATTAAAATATATTAATAATAATTATTATTATTGTCACTATATTTGCATACTAAAAAATTCAGCTTAGTTTCAACTTTCGAATTATTAGTAAAACAATTATTGCTTATGAGCAATTTCTGTTTTTGCTAAGTTAATTAAATTTATACATGTTGTATAGTTAAATGAATATATAATAAGTATTACTGAAATAGAATATCCGCTTGCTTGCCGCTTATTCCGTCAACTCACGGAAGCCATACGTTATCTACATGATCGTGGCGTGGTGCACCGAGATATTAAGCCAGATAACGTACTTCTCGATGCTAATGAGGACGTAAAACTTGCAGATTTCGGTTTTGCACGTTATATTAATAGAAGAAAACGTTCCTACTCATTTTGCGGCACAAAACCATATTGTGCACCAGAGATTATTCAGTTAATTTTTAAATTTTATTAGTCTTTGGAATTGATTGAAAAATTCATTTTTAAATTTTATTAGTTTGTTTTTTCTAGTAATTGGCAATAAAATCAAAACACTAGAAATTCAAATCAATTATCGATCAAAATTCATCCCTACAGAAGTATACAAAAGAAGATACAGTGCATTGTTCCATGTAGAATTATTAGTTTATAGTTTGTTTGCTAAGTTTTTTCACTTTTTTAAATTGAGTAATGAATTTGACAGTTTGTAAAGAGTATCTAGTATTCAGTACTTCCTTGTTACTTATATAACACTTTTTTTTTACTTAATGTATCATTGAATTTGTTGTGTAGCATGCAATCCCGGGAATCTTAGAAATTATCGAAGCAAAACTTTTTTCAGCAAATCAAATTGTCGCAATTTGTCATTTGATTACTGACCTTGTGACCTAATTACGATTATCAATTTTGAGTCACTTGTAGTCATATTTTTGATTAAATCTGAATTGAATTCAGGCATAAGCCATATGATGCATATGCATCTGATTGGTATTCAATGGGTGTATTACTTTACACGATGCTTGTGGGGAAATGGCCACAAGTCAGTAATTTTCTAGCTTGATTAATTTTTCATATCAGTAATAATTTATGACATCTACTTTTTGTATTCTTTCATATTTACTTTCTAGCAGTTACTACTCTGTTGAACATTACAATACAGCTTGAATAAAAGTTTTAGTTTTGAGAAACCTGAAGCAGATTTATTTTGTTGCAGTACAATATATGTTTGGTCATTATTTGCTTTGGACACGCTAAATAAAAAAATTGTTCAGGTAGTGTACTTCTGCAGGACTTAAAGATTCACTGTATCCATATAATCTTTATAGGAATCACATGAAACAGATGAACAAGTATCATGTTGTGCAACTTTTGAAACAGCAATACCTTCACAACCTGCTCGTGCACTGATAATACGGTTGATGAATACAGATTATCGTTTTCGGGGCAATTATGATACAATCATTAATAGTGAATGGATGAAAGCTCAAAAAATATGGGTTATGAAGCATAAACATCTAATTTATGAGATTATTAAGTCAACATAATGAGAAAAATGAATTATACAATTGATATTGATATTGTTTCTGTTCCGTTGTTTGATTCACAGACCATCCAATTCAATCTGAAATTCAGTTAATTATGGAAATGATTATTAGTAAACTTTTGAAACTGTAAAAATGATTATTAATAATAAACTTATTAGTAAATGATCATAAGTATTATTATTAGTAATATGACATTAATTTTTGTTTTCAACTTTTTTACAACTCTTCAAAGGTTAAAAAACATTGCTTATAGCTTAAATGCTGCCAAGAAACGAGCAGATTATCATCTAACAAACCAACAACTGATAATCACTCAATTTTGATATTAGCATTAACTTACTTAAAAATGGCTTTAGCTACTGATATCAACTTTTGGAAAAATAGGCTGCTTCCCCAATACTTACTGTTAATATTAACAAATATATTTGACAGTTTTGAATTTTTTATACACAATACATTAATTTTTTTAATATATACAGTATTATCATTGTTGATCTTGCTTCATTTGAAAACTTTTAATATTTACTTATCACTTTTAAAAATGCGTCTGACTTGAACGTGGCTCTTTTTACTGCTGTTAAAAGTAATGCGTTGCAGTAAGTTGTTATTAATTTGAAAACGTTTGAAGAATGTTATCAGCGTTCATAAAATGAGCCTATCATGGGCATTTCAATTAATGATAACGTTCAAGTCAGACGCTGCTATATTTTTGATTTTTATTGAAAGATATGCTGTGTACATGCTATTTTTCATTCCATTATTATTGAAATAAAATTAGCTTTTGAATTAAAATTATGATAATTTGAAGTTTTTATTTTAACTATAAGAGACAGAAAATAGAAAAATAGAAAAAATTTCTGAATGATTCATTTATTAATTAAATTAACGCAATTAATTTGGTTATGATATTTTTTATTAATTACTGTATAATTTAATTAATATTTAAGACCTATTTTAGTTTAAAAAATTATCATAATTTCAGTTTTAGCAAATGAATAACATTCACTTGTGTTGCTTCGTAGTTTTATCTACATGTATTATTGCTTTAAAACAACAGGTAAAAGTTTGGAGTACTGGTTCAGTCATCTACCGATATGGCAGGTAAGTTTTATATTTATTTTTTCATGACCTTTGCAGTAATCTAACTTTGTTTGCAAATAACAAAACTTTGCTTATTTTCGAAGAGCAAAAACAAACGGAGACGTTTTTACTAATATAAAACGCTGGAATGAAATGCAAAATAATCAGCTAGTGGAATATGCTGCTGATAACTTATATCTTATCAATATCACTCTCGGAACACCTCGTAAGTTAATTATAATTATTCTACAAAAGAAATTCGATTGAAAAAAATATTAATTCTGTGGTAATAATCATATAAATATATTAAAAACAAATCACTAATTCATTTTAATGAATAATATTACTCTGAAAATAGTCAAAAATTTAAAACGAATGAGTAACGTGGATAAATTATTACTGTTTTTGATGCATACAAAATTTTTGATAGAGAAGATTTTACAAAGTATGCCTTCAATATTTATGACAATTTTTAAGCAGTTTTTTTAATAATTACATTATTTTTTGATAATTAAAGTTAATCAAATTGATGTTTAGCACAGCCATTTGCTGTGGTGGCTGATACTGGAAGTGCAAATCTTTGGGTGATTTCATCTGAATGCAAAAGTGCAGAATGTGAAAATTATTCTGGAGCAAACTTTATCAGAAGACAATTTAATCAGACGTCAGCAACTTTTTGCGCCTATACGATTTATATCAAATGATAAGAATATTCTTTAAAAAATTTCCTAATCCAAAATATAAAATATTATAATTTAGATTCAAAGTATATAATATAACTATATTCAATGTAGATAATAAAATAAATTCAAACAAGAAAAGATAGCATTAGATACTGTTTTATTACTATGAAATAATGATTTAAATATATGGTTAGACTAGGTTTTACTTTTCAAGCTTCTTTAATATTATTCTACACGCAGAAATTTTCCAGGCGCATCAAATAGTGGTTTTTTTTAAATATGTACAACAAATTTTATTTGCAAAATAATTTTCTGAATTACTTCAGAATTCAAAAATAACATCTGACTTTTATACTTGCTATAATAGTGACATCATATTTTTATATATTTATTATAAATTAGATGCAAAGTTATTTTTATTAGCGTGCTCAGTTAGATATTATCACTGTTAATCACTTAACATTGTTGCTGTTTTGCAACTTTTAAATAATAATTATTTAAACTTTGCTGATAGATTTGTTCAAAACAACTTGATTCTTTACAGACTTTCAAGCACATTTAAATTAGAAGGTAGTTTTTTTGAAATGACACGCAAGAACAAATGGTGCAAAGGCTTTCTTGGATTTGATGTGCTAAAAGTAAGTTTATATTTAGAAGTATAATTTTAGCAAAAAATCGTGAAAATTGTGCTGATTTAATTTAGGTTATCATTGGAGCATCTATTTAATTTCAAGTTTTTGATAATTCTTTATAGAACTTTATTTGAATAACTTTGAGCTTTGGCAAGATTAAACTAAAAAATTCCAAATTATTAATAAAACTGTCAAGGCATTCTTAATATTGTATTCAGTTTTCATGCTTCAAAAAATCAAGAAAAAATAAAACATTTGATATGTAGTAAACTTCTGAAAAATTATTCAGATGTCGATTTTTTATAGTTTGCTAATTTAACATATCCGCAACAAGGTTTTGGTCTTGTAACAAGCCTCAGCAAGGAATATATTTTCTACCCTTTGGATGGTTTTTTTGGACTAGGGTGGCAAGCTTTAGCTTTTCATGAAATCATACCACCAATACAAAATGTACTTGGAAAGTTGGATCAACCAGTGTTCACCATTTACTTAAGAAAGTACCTATTCTTTGCAAACGGCTAATGAAGAAAACATATCTAATTATTATGTATGGTACTATTTGTGTTATTACCAATAACAATCCCCGAATTATTTGCATATAACTTAATTGATTAAGAAATTTCAAACCATCTGAAGAAAACGAAGGTGGATTGATCACCTACGGTGGCACTGACCCTGAACATTGCTCATCTGATATCAACTGGTTACCACTTTCATCCCTTACCTATTGGCAGTTCCTACAGACTGGGCAAGTTCGCTTATGATAACTTGTTTGAGAGAGCTTTATCAGAATTAATTTAATTTGTATAAAATATTTACCATCCCAGTAATTAAATATCATTTTTAGTAAAGCACATTTATTTTTAATTAGAGTAATATTTACTTTCAAAAGCATGAACTTAATTTTAATAAGAAATAATTAATTAATTAAGTTTAGTTCTGATTTAATGAATCCCTAATTTAAAATAATTAAAAATTCAAGATCTTAAGTATTAAATTGATACTAAAATTAGCATATGTTATTTTTTAGTTTCTCAGTGGGACGAACTTCAAGCAACACTTGGCATGAAGCAATTTCTGATACGGCAACTTCATGGATCATTTTACCGCTTTATGAATACAAAATAATTTTGCACGAACTTGGTGCCGTGTATACCTATGGTATGACAACTGTGCCATGCAATATTACTCAAACTGCACCACCAATCAGTTTAATAATTGGAGAAAAAGCTTTTGCTATACCTGCTGAAGATTACGTTATTGATGTAAGTTACAATATTAGCTAAAAAATGATTGCCTTTTAGTATATATCAAATCAATATCACACGGAGATCATTCTTATTTTCTGCATTACTGATTTTGGTGCTAGACTGCATTCTGGCACTTTCGCTGTACCAGCTCCTCTCTCAGTTTTGTTCTGTTGATCTTCTTTGCTCCATCCTCGTCGAATCCTCGGCGCTGATCGAATGAAAATGCTTTTGAGCGTTCTCTTAAGTAATATCGTTTGCATACATGCCTCGACGTGATCAGATATACCAATTTTCTTCGCGTAACGTTTGTGGAAGTTCACTGCAATCCCATCCCAAGTCATTACATACGGAATTATTGAAGTCCTGCATTTCCTCTCTTACCCAAGTTTATCAGCCACTAGATCATATTTGCGTCTTTTTTCGGTTTCGACTTCTGTCAACTTGTCCTAACCAGTGATGCCAACCTCACGTCGCTTCTTATTGCGTATCGTGATATCCGGTTGATCCGCACTTATCTTTATAACTGTTCTTACTTGCGTATCAACTCTGATTTCCACGCTCTCATTAGCAAAGGTCTCCTGAGCAGAATGGCTCTGCATGCGTGGGAATGCTACTTTTTGAAAACTTCTAAATAAATACATCGCACAATCTCATTGTGTGTTCTATTATAGTTATGATATAACATTTTCTCACACTGCTTTGCTAGGTGGTCCACCGTCTTCACACGTTACCTACAATGTTGGCACATACCTTCTCGGCTTCAAACATATTTCTCTCTTGGAGCTGACAGTATCGCGCATCATCCTGCGGAATAATGTTTTCTAATCGTAGCCTCATTGATGAATTTGACATTGAAGCTAGCTCATTTCTGTGCATCTTGAATAGCTTTGCATGTCGAGATTTCTTTTCTATATTTCGCTACAGAAGAGCGCTTTCTAAGCTGCTAGCTCAATCCTTTGTTCAGCGCAGTGAAGCCGACGTTTTAGCTTGTCCCTCGGCAGGTACAGTCTCTCTAAACATGCAGGTTGATTGTGAAACCCGTACACCCGTACCTGTTTAGTAACTGTCTGATATCATCGTCAATTGCCTGGAAATTCTCTGGTTCCAATTTGAGCACCTCAGTATAATAGTTTATTAATCCTATACTGTCTAGATAGAGTTTTTGCCGTTTAAAGCAATTTCAGCTAGTCGCTCTATTCTCAGCAAAATCTCTGCTCGCTCTTTATCATAGCTTGCTCAGGTAGGTACACTAGTCCTATCCTCTAATAATCCGAGGTAGTTATACCTTTTAGCTCCTTCCAAGAGCACTGCGTTAACAATGCATACCCCAGTGTTAGTGGCTGACTTTTCTTGATTCACGTCTAACCTACTATTTCAAAAAACCTTTGAACTTCCTCGGCTGTAGCTTTTATGATATCGTCGCTGGTAGCAAGGAGCTTCAGATCATCCCCAAATAATAAATGGTTTATTACATGCATTTTTTATTCGATGGAAACCGCCACTTTTGAATATCTGATATTGAGCTTATGGCTCAATGGTCCATGCATAAAACGTATATCCATCATGGATTCTCCATTGCTTTTCAATGTAATTTGATATCTGGAGGTAATTCTTCTCATAAACTTGCCGATTTAAATTAGAAACATTTATAATTCAAAAGGTATCAGCTATTACTGATGCGAAGATTACGCTTGAAATTTAAAAGAAAAGTTTTCTGATTGTGATTAATGTTTAGGGTATCAATATAAACTTGATATTAGTATTTTTCACTTGGAATTGTTCAATAAAAAAAGACATTGAGGAAGTCTGCATGAAAAAGTAAACATAATACGATTTTTAATTGCATGAGAAACATTCACTAGAATCAGAAAGCTCAGATTAGTAGCATTTACTTATTCCACGTAAGTTCACGTGAGCTATAATTTTGAATCAATCCTATTTTTAAAATTGTACTACTGTTGAAAGACGTTACAGAGATAATATCAAGTTAAGATTATTCACATACAACTATTCTACACGTAGTCAAGTCATATACTTTTTGCAGTAAAGTAAAAATTTATTCCCAATTAATAAGATTACGGAAGAAAAATAAGTGTATGTGAAGAGGTAGCTAAGAATAATAAGGTTATTTAATAGTGTGGGGAAAGATGAGAGGACCAAAAAAGGAACAAGTTTTCAAATACTTAAAATGTTTTCGGTAAATCACTGCAACCTGAATAGAAATGGAAGAATTTGGAGATCTCACTTTATAATTTAATGCAAGTTACTGTTATTAGTTGTTTGGGTTTATTTAGCAGTCATTTTTATTAATTATGTGCTTTTAAACAAGCTAATCTTGCAGGAAGGTTGGGGAGAAACTTGTTTAGTTCCAGTAGGATATCAAAGTGGTACAGGATTTGCACCGAGTTTGATACTTGGTAATGCCTTCATCCGCTCATTCTGTCATACCTATGACTTTCAGAATCGTCGAATTGGTTTAGCATTATCAAAAGATTCGCAAACTTGACAGCTTTTTATTTAATTCTGTATTAAGTTATTTCATAGTTTTTGTCTATATTTCTGCAAAAGTACCATTGTAATGACTTCTTACAAGACTTGTTTTGTGAATGTCTGATAATTTATACATTTCGAGGTAATCATTTTGTAACCAACTATGTTAGAATCATGCCTTCGGATGATAATAAATACTGACAGTTTAGCAGATGATCGATGAACTTAAAATTAATTGCTGTTTTAAGCTTTAATAAATCATCGAATGAAATACAGAAATCGTGAAACTCAGAAAATGAAGAATCCAACGTCTTTGGTTTTTTTTTTCATTTATGGAAACTTCGATTATAATTCACATAAAATCAAACAATTGCGTAGCGAGAAAAAAGTTGTAGTGCAAAAAAAATAAAGCATAGATAAAAAGTATATGAATCAGTCTAGCAAAATCAAAGTTAATTGCAAATTAGGTGGACATGAAACAAAATAAAGTACATCGAAAACGCTTGATATGTTGGATAAGAAGTCTATCTGTCCAACGGATCAAGTATATTTATTTGATCATGAACGAATGGGGAATTTTTTTGTCGGGTAATCGTTCAATAATCTCATTTCTTCAACAATATATTCAGCTTTTCGATTGTGTAAGTGCCGATTCCTCAACAATGTACGAAGTTTATCAATGCTTATCAATTGAATACCACCTGTACCGCCGTTAAGATACTTCTCATTCATGATAACGACATTACTGCCAGATGGAGCTCTAATACTCCACGGATCAAATGAGTTCGTGTCCAGAAGCTGTGTCAAAATCACGTAATCATAGTCCTGGAATATTTTGATGAGGTATCCATCATCATAACCATTTTGAGTTCGAAAGCGTCTCTCCAATGGTGTGTAATAAGGTCGAGAACGATAGATACCATATGCTACTAGTCCGATTGATTCTCGATTATTTTTAAGATTCTTCACAGGTGTAGCAGTGGTAGATTGTGATAATTCGATTTGTTTTTTCATGTTCACAGCTTTCGACAGTTGCTGTTGTGAGATTGGCTGCGTTGATTTAATCGTAGATGAAATTGCGTTAATAGAGGTAATTGCAGAAGGCTTTTGTGTTATTATAGAATCTTTTGTTTCTAGTGATTTAGTAATCATTTGATCGCTAATCTGAAAAAACTTGAATCTAAATTTATCGTGGATTAAATTTGTTTAACGTTTACTTTTGAATAATTGGACTTGAAATATCTACTACACATTGCACTTATTAGTTCTAAAAAGTAGCAAGTTAATAATACTAACCTTGGATGTCGTTGTTGCATTTCTGAAGGATTGTACAGATGAAATATTGGTCTGTTTTTGGTTGCTTTCTTGTTTTTTCAACTTGTACTCAAATTCATTTTCTTGCTCGTTCAATAAATTGTATATATTTTGCTTCTATAATTGCAAATTGCAAATTGCAAAACGATTACTTGAAAATAGTGCCAATTTATGTATTGTAAAAAATTTGCATATGATTTTAATGTGTGCTGAAAGTTACTATTTTATTGCTTTAAACTTTTATGAGGAATAAAATCACGTCTACTGATTATGATCTAACTTTTTATTTGACCTTTTGCAGTCCAAAATAAAGAATGAAGTCTAGAATGAACTCTAATCTAACTCAGTCAAAAATAATTAAGAATGAATTGTATCAAAAAATTGATAACTTTACCAAATTTTAAAACATACCAATATTTTATTATTAAAATTAATTAAAAACTGTCCTCATACAATTAATAACTTCTAAATAAAAGCAATCAACCAACATCGTAACGTCTATTGTACTCTCGAGCGTCGCTCACGTCGATCATTGAAATATAAATTAGTAACAAAAGTATTGGAGTCATATTCTGAAATCTTATATTATTGCCACAATTGGTGAATTAGTCCGATATTATCACAGAATCTGAATCCATCGGTACAAAAATTTTTGTGAATCAAGCAGATCTATTTTTAATTTGTGTAATAAGTTATCGCTTATGATTTATATTTTCATGCAAATGAATTAACGTTATACGAAGACTGTAATGCAAATCTGCGATTACTGATAAATACTAAAACGTATTTGGCAGTAATACATGAATTTGTGTGTGATACATTGTGTAAAATAGTCCTCTAAAAATTTTTGATTTTGATTTTCAGCTTATAAATGATCTTCTATAAATTTTGCTTTGAGAATCACAAAGACGAAATAGACATCTATTGTATTCTCGATGCAAGGCACATAACTCTTTAATAATTCAACTTTTAATCAAACAAATAAAAAATTTATTACCAAATATTCTTTGATCGAAATTGGAATAAATAGCTCATACAAAAAGTTTACACATTGCTATTAAAATATTGTATGCATAAATTTGTCGATGAAAATTATATTCAATTTTATTCAAATTTCAACCATAAGAATTTTAATTAATCAAAGATTTTGGAATAATTAACCGCAAAAATAAATTTTGGAATAATTTATCTACTCTACTTGCTAATAAAAATAATAACTTAAATCAATTCTATTCTTTTTCAGTAATCTAGTAATTTAATTTGCATATAAGTCATAAAAATTAAAAGTGTAACCTGTGAACCACTGAAGTTTTTTTCATCCCTTTGAGAAGTATTTTTGTTTTTTGTCAGTTTTGAATTCCAAATTAGCAACTTTTGATTTTTGTGTTAAAAAATTATACCAATTTTTTTCAAAAAATAAAATGTTTATTTGAAAAGTTTTATCTTTTAGCAGCTAAACAATATTTCCTCTGTTTTTTAAGAAATGATATGCAACGTTATGAGAACATTTCGTTCATATTCTCAAGTTCAAATTTTTGATGATTTCTGAGATCAATCACTCACGTACAAAGCCAACTTCATACAATATAAATCTTTGTACGAAAATTTATATTTTTCAGTACGTTCTTTCATTTTTCGGTAAAAATTACAACTTTAAGTGATCTTTTTTCTGGATTTGCATTTTATGCGAAAATAAATTATGCCTGCTTACAAGAACATTTTTTAAAAAGCTTTTATTCAGGAAAAACAATTTGTTTTAAGTTATTAGACAGGAATGATAGATGATGTGAAGTGGTAAAAGTGATAATTTAATGCTGTGTTTACAATATTTAAGTATAAAGATATCAGTCATATGCAAAACTTGTAGCAATTGTTGAGGAAATTTTTAACAACTTGCAGAAGCAAATTTATGAACAAAACACTTTTCCATCTTAGACAAGTTAATTGCTATTAACATTAATTGTTATAAAAATTTTGCATGAATAAAATATTCAAATTTGTTAAAAATTAGTTCAACTGCATTTGATACGATTAATTATAAATATATGAATACTGACGTGTACGTGTCAAAGTTGAGTGATTATCAGCTGCAGAATATTTAGTGAAAATATTATGGGCTTGAATTGTTATCACAAAGATTAAAGTTCCGAGAATTACTTGAGTAATAGCTAATGGAAATAAACGAGTATAAAATGCCTGCGAATATTTTTTGGGTAATCGAGCCTGTACTTTTCTCTGAAAGTAAAGTAATTTTGAATAATTTATACAATATTTAAAAAATTACAATTAAAATTAAACTTTGTTTTCATAAGTTTAAAAAGTTTACCTGCCAAATGATGAGAACAACAGATAAGACAGAAAGGAATGATCGCCAAGCCATATATGGTATCAAAGCTGTAGCACTATGATTATGGATAGCATAGCACTTGCAAGGAATTGTTATCAAATGAATGATAACTACTATTATTATTATTGTCATTATCAGCACACCATTGGTATCCCTTCAAGAAATTTAGCACAAATTAGCATGAACTGTGGTAATGTTTTGGTGTGAGTATTTGTATATTATAATTTTGCTTTTTAAAATTATTTCATAGATGTAAAAAAAATATAAAATGATATTATAAAATCTCTTCATTAATTATTACTAATTATTAAAATGATATTTAGAATGAATTTTTTTATAGCAAATTAATTAACAAATTTTAATAGCAATACAAATTCAAGTTATCACTAATTATTAGAATAAAACTGATTAAATCTAAAATGATATCATAAAATCTCGTTATTACAAATAACGAAAGATCTGTTTTTTACTATTTTGAATAATTTTATTAACGCTTTTCGCTGTCTTCGAACACACATTATAAACACATTTTATTTTTATATAAAAATAAAGTCTAATAGTAACATGAAAAAACAAGTAATTATTGAAATGCGATGAGATAAAAGTTAACCAAATTTGCATAAATTATATTTATAAATTGTTCTAAAGTAAAAAAATGAATGAATTAATACCTTTCATGAGGTGATTTTGAAAAATATGTGATCAAATTGTTAGAAATCAAATTGGTCAATATACCAACAGTAATAGATTCGAATATTACTCCAAAATATAAACTACTGATAATGAAGGCATTATATGTGCATAACATTTGGTTATTTTTATAATATAATAAAAAGTTTGCAACAAATTTAGTTAAAAATTAATTCAGCACAAAAGTGAAGGATAAGTAACCTTTGAAGTTTCAGTCACTTTAGTACAAGTAAGTTGTTGCAGACAACTGACTGCTCCAACTTCACTTTCAGTGATTGTTCTTCGACTTTAACAAGCATTTCTTCAGCTTATCTTCCTTTATGTTTCATTTTAAAACGAAACTTCACATTTTGCTTAACTTTTAAAAAATTCACTGAGATTCCTTACTTTTTTATTATTTGAACTCAAATATCAAAGCAAATTTGTCCAAAATTAAATTCTGCTTTACTTAAAGCCAATACTTGCATGTTAAAATTCATTACTGTTCTATTTTTTATATAATTACTTTTATAAATATGCAAATTTTTGTTGTCCCTTTATTTACTAATTAATTTATTCATGAAGATATTAGCTTCGAAGAGGAAGTATAATTGCTCGTGTATCAAACTGATTCTTTTTTAATGTTCTAAAGAAGGATTTTTTTAAGTAAAATTGAAAATTTGCTGCAATTTTAATATGCAATTGTAGCTGAATTTTAATTTAAGAAATTTGCATATGCATTTTTTGTAAAAATTTATAACTACTGGCTTTGATTATAACTGTCAGCTCAAATAAATAGAATTTGAAATTTTTAAGATGAATTAATAAAAGCACTTTTCAAGCAAACAAATTTATTTTTAGTTGCCAACCATAAATTACTATCATTTCACAAAAAGATTAGTAGAGCAAACACCAAATGCAACAATTCATTAAAAAACACGAACGTTAGATGAAAAATAATACTAAACATGAAATCAAATACTTAAAAATAACATTAATATAAGATTAAAAAATTGTCTTTAGTGCAAAATTACGTAAACTTTGCTTTACTTACAATTTAACAAATATTGCGCAGTAAATAATACGCAGAATTACGCAGTAACCTTTATTAATATCTCTTTTGCAATCAAATCTGTATTAACATGGTAATTAATTAGTCTATCCAATTAATGAACGATTAAATGATCCTTAAATGGTTAGAAATAAGTAAAAAAATTCGCAACTTCAACAATTCTAATTACAATATCAAAAAATATAAATCAAAAATGAACTTTTTGTTAACCTTTGTGAAGAAATATGAAACTTTTAGAGGAATTATTCAAATTGTTTTTGCGGTATTTCATGCTCTGCTGCAGTTTCCGTTACCCCAATGTCAGCTGCCTAAAGCACATAAGTCAAAGGTCAAAAAAGGGTAAGAAGCTCTTCTATAATAATCCTCGATTATATTTGTCAAAAGCAATGATCAAGATATTGAACAAATCTTTAGATTCTTGCCAAAATCTCAATATCACTAATCTAAGCTTAACAAAGTAATCACATTTTTGTCACAAATATTGCATATAGCAACTTGTAGATTATTTTGATAACTTTTCAACTACTCAAAAAATTTAATAATTCGAAATAATAAATTTCACTGTAAGATTGCTTGTAGCTAAAGCAAAGTTGTTATTTTTTCATAATTTTTGCATAAAAACGAATAATTAAGTGAAAGTGAATATATATTTATTATTAAAAAGTACAGTAATTTTGTAGTGACTGATTGCTATGTTGCAGCCCTGAGCAAAATCGAATAGTAACTCGTAGAAAAAGGTAAAAAGACGGGAAAAAGAAGGTCGATTTCCTGGCGAAAACCAACAACTATTTATCAATGCCTGCAAAAGTTTGTGTTAAAAAATTTCCACTTCCTAATAAATTTTAAAAATACTGTCTGAAAGATTCAGTGAATTTTTAACACTTTGAAATAAAAATAAAACTTTTTTTAAAGCAAAAATTTGTATGAAAAAAAATTCTTTATTTTCGTTAAATCAAATTTAAAAGTTTTAACAATAAAAAATTTAAAAATTTAAAAGTTTTAACAATTAAAATTTTAAAATTTTAAAGTTTTACCAATAAAAATTTAGGTATTTTTCGTTGAGATTTTCTTTGAATAGTCATTCTTTTTCCATTTTTCAAAAATCTCAACAATCTGATAAAAATCAGTTTAAGATTTTTATCTTAATTTTGTGAATATTTTTTTGGTCTATGATTGTAGTTCAGTCTACATCCATAATCGTGAATCAAGATCATTGTTTACTATCAAATTAATAAAGTTAGACTATACTTATGAATAACTTTGATAAATTATTCTCAATTAAGATGCATAAATTCGTGTGCTTGGAGTTTTTGAAGTAGACAATACGAAAAATAAAAAATCAAATTATATTTAGACAAAAAATACTTTTCTGGATTTTCAATTGATACAGTCTCAAGTGAATACGGTAATTTTCCAGGATTTAAAATTTCAAACATTACACAACCAAATGACCAAATATCAGTTTTGATATCAAAATTTTGATATTCCAGTGCTTCTGGATCCATCCATCTCCAATGCAGCAAACTTAGATCAATTTCCCTTGACTTAAAAATTCAATTTTGGCTTATTTATTATTTGCTGATAATCGAAATAATTTGCTAAAGCATATTTTTGAGAACTGTCTGATTTATTTATCATACATCTCAGCAAATTAAATTTTATTTAGACTAATTTTTTTGAAAATTTTTCAACCTTAAAATTTTGATTACCGTACTAAGATTATCTCGACAATTCCTTATAATTATTATTTACTTAATGTTTATATAATTAATCAAAATGATTAGCACATCTGATTTAAATCAATTTAAATTAATAAATATCTGATCTGATTTAAATTAATTTGAATAAAAAACGTGCCAGTTTGCCTAAAACTGAAAGAGGTAGCATGTAATCGGTAAGTTTAATAGCCATAGAATTTTGATGTTGTACATAAACGAGAACATTGGCTGCTCGAAGATTTCGGTGACATAAATCATTATCTTCTAAATATCTCATGCCTGCCGATATCTGCAAGGTTTTATTTATGAACAACCAAACTGACTGATTGCTACCAAATCAACAATTGCAACCGAATTGGTCGATCTGTAGAGTGTATTGATACACCTGAATTGAATGATTACCAAAATAAAAGAATTACTAATTAAGGGAATGAAAGAATGAATGAATTATTGATGATCTATCGTTGGTAAATTTAAAATGATCAAAAAAATTTTTTTTCAGCATTTCTCAAAAATGCCAATTTTCATTACATTTTCAAGATTTTGTGAATCCATAAATCCGATCTATTTTTGGTTTATATGTTAACCAATGAAAAATTAAAATTATCTGAATTTCAAGAAATTAAGTAAAATTAAAAATAATTCAAAATTGATAAAGTAAGTAAAATTGGGAATTATTTTACAAAAGAGAATAAAATAAATTAAGCTAAATTGTCATAAATTTAGGCAATAAGAAAAAGGGATGAAATTTTTGAACAGAAATTGGACTGAGATAGATATAATCTTACTTGCGATAAGCACAAACAGAACATCAGAATTAATATTCAGTATCTATTACATAGCTATTGAGCAAGCTTGCAAAAATAACCCAAGAGTACAAGAAGGTACATTAATAAAAGAATTGCTGAGATCATAGTAAGGTTAAGTTGCTTGTAATGGGTAACTGAAATGTATTTAAAGGTCACTGTTGGATAATTGAGTACATCTAGAGGTCATATGATAAAGTAAGTGCAAGTTAAATAACTGATATACTGATACTTGATACATAATCTCAAGGTTTGCGCGAATTGTTAAAGGTGGTAAGCCATCTTCGATGCGCATTATCAACGCCATATCTAGCGGATGCCCGCAAATGAATTCATACGCCACCCAAGGACCATAGACCTGAATGCACTTTGACCTTACTACGAAAAATAATTCCAAATAATTCCAAATAATCCCAATTTTCACAAATTAATTCAAATTTTTTCTGATTATGAAAATGTTTGCTTATACTTTGTCATGAATATTGTAACCAGCAATTTTGCACAAGTATTCTTCACCTTGAATGAAGTAGTCATTTCTTCTGTAATGGTTGATGAGATTAAAAAGATTAATATGAAGTAAGCAATCAGTAATTTAGTAAGTATGCATTTGTTTAGTGATTTTTTGTTAATCCAAAATGTTCAGCGAAAGATCAGAATCAAATTGAACTTCATTGGATTCAGTGCTTTCATTTAATTTAAAAATGTTTTGTAAAATAGAATAAAGATAATATTGTGTATTTTTACTTAATAACTGCCATTGAAAAAAGCAACTTTAATATGCAAATATAAACTAAATCACTAATTACTAAGTTTTTCTCGTTTGTACTCATTATTATCATCATTTGAATAGCTTTTAACACTACAGTCTAATTTATATGTAATGATTACTTTTCTTGATTTATACTTGTAGAGCAATAAATTTTGTACCTTTCAAATAAAAGTGTAAAATGGAAAGTCAATGTTTGCAAGGTAAATATTCATATTTGTTCTCAGAAAAATTTGCTCAAGTAAATGTGATCAACGATCTTTGAAAAAAATTAATTTGAGGTTAAAGGTCTATGTAGTAAAATGCAAGAATATTATTTACTGTTCATCGCATGCAAGATTCATATTGCTGAGTCTTCGATGGATATACAAAGCATTCAGGCATTTTTCAAAAAGTTCTTCCTTTAAGTATGAACTTTTGAGCTGTTTAAACGCAGCCTCGCAATAGTGACCATTTGCACTTAATACGGCTACAAATTTTAAAAGTTTCTGCATTTTTTTTATTATCGCATAAATATAATTTAGTACTTGAATACTTAATTGAATACTTGTAAAAATTTAGTAAAAGTAATAATATTGCTATTACATATACATATGCACAAGTAATATAAAGACTTGAATTTGCATAAAGTTTAAATATTTTTATGAATTGTGAATAAAAAAATTGCAAATAAAAATCTGACCTCGAGAAGTTTTTCCAGCAAAAGCTGAACGTTTTGTTAAGATTTCACTTGTAACACTAATGTCGTATTTTAAATCCTAAAAAAGTAAAAGGAATGCGAATTTAGCTTGAAATAAGCAAAGATAAACTCTATTTTATCACAGCGAAACTAGTAGCAACTAAACTTTATAAAATTAGCCTCCACCATTTTTTGTAATGATTTAGGAATTTATAAAATTATTCTTTAAATTGCAAAAGGGATTGATATTTGTATTAGTCAAATTCTATTAATAGTGATTAAAATTCACGTAAATACAAATTAAACCTTATCATCTGGCACTATAATTAGTCCAGTACTTTGTTTAGGTGTTTTATAAGCTTTTGATTGGTGTGGAAAACTAAGCGGTTTAGGGCCAAGAACTGGATTTTCTTGAAACTCTACTGGATATCTTAAAGCCAGTGGCACATTCAAATCTACTGTTAACTTTTGCTCTGAATAATTTTACATGTGTTAAAAATTTTGCAGATTGAAAGTAATATCATTTAATCACTGAATCAATTAATCATTTGATCAAGCAGATTTATTTAATGATTTTTACAGAGCTATAATTTCAAAAATAAAATTAAAAAATAACTGAATAAAACAAAATAAAAAACGAACTCATTCTGTATTCAAGTCAATAAAAAAGAAGTTGAAATTCAAATTAGAAAAAATTCAATATATTAATTATTTAATTAACCTGTATAATAATTTAATAACTGATAGATAGTATAAAAAGTTTCTTCTTTAAAATCGAACAAATAGAAAGATCCCATGCTGTATGACAAACATTAGATTTAACTTTTTTTCCAGAATTTTGAAACAAAATTCATATTTCAAAAGTTAATTTCATTAATGATCGTTTAGATTAAAAAATTAAAATACAAATATAGTTAATTCAATCATTTTAATTTCAGAATTATTATATGGTTGTTAATTGGTTTAAACACGAATATAGATATAACTGTTATTAAGAAGTAGAAATTCTACTCGGTCCTTCTAATTCTGATGTATGCAATTGGAGGTGACGGTTCCCTGGTTCCTGGTATGGAATCTACTTTAATAGACCTCGTAGGGTATGCCATTGAAAACGAATACTTTACGTTATGTTTCTGATCTTCTTCCCATTCTCGATAAAACTCATCTTCTGACCCTGCAAACTTCAGAATTTGTTTGAAGCTTTGTAAATGACTTTTACAGATGACTTGCAATGTAATCATTCCGTTCGACTTTTTTTTCTCATGTTTTAGCATGTTAATTATTACTTTATTATTTTACACAACTGTAGTAATACTATAAGCGTTGCAGTGATCACGCTATTTGTTTTTTAAGCGCTTATTTTATGACAAACCAAAGCAGTAAAATGCTATTATTAAAAAGTATGGTAAAAACCAAAAGTTAACTTAGTTGCTTGTTTTAATTATCAAATCTTTCAGTCTATTGATTAAAATTAACCAGTAAGGCATTTTACAACTAAAATAAATTCGGGCCATCCTGAATTATGAGGAATAATCTCGGAGGGTTGACAAACGATATAACTTCCGAAAGATGATTGAAGATCATTTCTTAACCAGATTCCTGCTTCTACTGGATTTATACGTCCAGCAAACCATCTAAATTTTCCCGAAATTCTTCTAGATCCAAGTGTTAAATTTAATTGTTTTACTTTTTACATACTTACATAAATGATGTCAAAAATTTGAATAATATCAAAATATTCAACTTTTGACTTTTTAAGTGTTTAACAAAAAAAACTAACTTGCATTGTAGAATTTCACGTGGAATATCAAAAGCTGATTGAATCTTTCGACCAACTTTTGTTTTGGGCATTCCGGACGAGCTAAATATCACATAATGAGAAGCAGAACTCATAATTTTTTTACATCATTAGAATCTGATAATTATATAAAATCTAATAGAAAATCAATAATTTAAAGTTAATTGATTACCATTTTTACCTTAATGGTTGCAAATAAGTAACAGAAATAAATCCTTTATTTCTGCAGCCTTTCTTGTGGTGAAGTCGTTCGACCATCACTAAATTTTGAATTTCCTTAGTGCCATCTTCCATCTCACAAGTAACTCTGCAAATTAACTTTCACTTTTGCACTGTTTAATTTGAGAACAAATCTGTCCTCACTTTCATGTTCTTCTCGTAATTTCCCAGTTCAAATTTTGATTACACCCTTTTGATTACGTTACGATTTCTTGAGCTTTCATTTTAAAGTGATCAATTTTTTGGATATAAAATTTGCACCGGTAAAAAAATGCACAAGCCACTACAATTTCTCCCCGGTTCAGATCTATAAAATTTAAATGTTTTGATCGATGCGACCATTGTACCTAAAACTAGCAAAGAATTATTGATTTTATTTTCCAATCAATAAGCCAAAATTGACTATTTAACTCTCGTACGCTTCATTCCCAATCACGAAAAACGTTAATATATTACACTTCTGATTATACCTGATTTTTGTATTAAACTCAAAAAATTTAATCCTAATCATTGAACTCAGGAACCTTTTTGCATTTTTATTCTCACAAGTTCAGTAAGTTATCTTTCTAAGTCACGTAATAAATGATTAAGTAATTATTGATTAATTGAT